CTACTACTACGCCTACTACTACTACTGCTACTGCTACTGCTACTGCTATTGCTACTGCTACTACTGCTACTACTTCTTTTGCCATGTCCATTATTCTGCTTCAACAGCTTTGGCTATTGCTAGCAAGACTCCGATTACTATGCTTTGTCTTTACAGCTGCGTTTCTCTCGTTCCTACCTGCCCAAACTGTTGCGTTTTCAACAGATCAGAAGCCTGTCGACTGCTATGGGAGTTGCGGAAAATCGGGGACCCTGCTGTAAACCCTAGATAATAGGATCCTTACTTTAAGGACCCAAGTAAGGTACCGCAGCTTTCTGAAACTCCCATCTCTCCTCAGCTGGTTCCAGATCCGGCTGTTCGAACCGTTGGCGCCCAACCTGGAGCTCCACCACTTCCGATGGGTCCTTCGCGGCATGTGTTTGCCAAGTAGGACCTTGAATAAATAGAATACTTCTGCCAGGTATTTAAGGAGTGAAGTATAGCATTGCTGATTATTCAGGCCCTGAGGTCCCCTCGTGTATTGAAGCATTCAACCCTCCTGGTCTGCACAAACATGAAAATACGAGCAATGGTCCTCATTCCTTATTATCATCGGAATCATCATCAACATTTTCATGACCATCAGCATCACCATCATCCCTCTTCGGCACCCAATCCTCCTGGCGTTGGTCGAGAGGCAACGCGCGCAGCTTCGGTCGCCAGCTGCTCGTGTGCCCCGCCCACACTGCCAGGCCAAGTGTTTAGGGATAAGGGTGTAATCGTGAAGGGACCTGTCAGATAGATTGATGCGCTGCACGAGCTGAGAAAGAGAAATGAAAGCAAGCACGTAGCCAACAGCAACACACAAGACAGTACGACGTGCTCTTGGATACAATGGTTAGGAGCAGGAAGTCTGACGAGTTACGGCACATCTTTCTCCATGGCAATGCTGCTGTTAGCACAGTCAAGATGGTCTGATCAAGTTGCTGTCGTGCTGTGTTTCTACTGTGCGGATGCTGGGAAGACATGCACTTGTTCTGCGGTGGCAAGGTGAGTTGTCCCCAAGCACAGGAACGTTTGTCACAAACCGGGGTGAGTATTAACTACCGTTGAGCCTCTGCTCGAAGGAATGAAGCCTGCACGAGAACTGAGCCGCACCATGGCATCCGAGTTTGGCTCCAATGGGGTTCGGATGTACAGGGTCGCTCGGCGATTGGAATGGGTTCAAGTCTTGTTTGTGAGAGCTCTGGCAGAAGCAAGGTGGGAAGAAGGTTTGGTTTAGCGTTTGGTGCCTAGCGTTTGCACCGCTGAGCCCTAAAGTCACCACAGGCTTTCAAGGTAAAAAGGACGAGACTAATTCACTTGCCTACGCCTGCAGAAGCAGGACTTCAGGTTTCTTGCCACATCCTCCCCGTCTTAGGGTACCAGTGGTATCCAGTGTAACCTCTGAATTCACGTAGTCCGGTCCTTGCATTAAACCTTCTCGGCACAACTTGCGATTCTGTTCACATGTCGCCTGTGCCAAATGCATTATTGGAGTCGCAGTGGCCTTGTCTGACTGCCGAAGAGCTCTCTCGCTGCGTTGCCCACCCAGATATTGGCAGGGGGGGCGTCGCGCTTCAGAAATTTCGCATGCCCGGGCACGAACCCAGGCACGAACCTTGAAGACGGGCCGCAAGGCGACCCGTGTCTAAAGAATGGGCTTTGGTCATGAATAAACTGCTGCTCCGAGAAGCTCTTTGGCGTGCGGGTTCAATGTGGAGCCAGCGGGATGCTTCCTCGTCTTCGACTCTTGCTGATGTTGGGTCGCCTTCTCGCGGCCTTAGATGCAAGGAAATCTGCAACCTGAGCACCCAAACCCCGGACCAAAATGGGTTATAGTCCAGTTAGATCGATGCCGGGGCCACTGTCTGCAGAAGAGCCAGCTGACACAGTCCACAGTGCCAAGAGGGGTTCTGTGTAAGATCCGGCTTGGATGAAACTAAGAGGGTCCTGGAGCGGATCGTGCGCTGTTATGAATTAACAAATTTCGACAAAGTCAAGAGGTTGCAGCAAAGCTTCCAAGCATTGCAGAAAGAAGGCAGCGGCTGTTCTCTTTGCTCAGGCACCCTGGGCAAAAAGGCACCAATGAATCAAGTCTTGTGGCCCGGGGATGTGGGGTCTACAAGGAGCCCTGGAAGTTCGCCTTCAACTTCCCAGGTGATGTCGTTGGAGATGCTTCGGATTTTACCTCGGGGTTGCACTTGGCACATGTGCACCTGCATTTAAGCCCTGGCTACATGAGGTACAGACTTGAAACCGAGGCACTTGAATCTCGAATCTCATCCAAAATCTTTTTGGCTAGGTCGCAAGCCTCTGGATCTGGGTAGCGATAGAGCGCTCGGCACATGCGCTTCAGTACCTCAGCAGCGCAGAGCTTTCAGGGATCCAAGCCATGATGATTCTTATGATTCTATCTAGTAGCACTTAGATTCGCGGCCGCTGCAGACTGGCGCACGCAGAACCACACTGTCTCACTCTCAACATATCGTACAACTCATCGTATCACCGCCCAGCGAGCCCGTAAGCACGTGGCAGGTGAAACTACACAGACGATATTTTTTGAGGTCCGTCTCAAAGGGTTGCCTTGTCTGGAGAAGACATGCAGGTCTCATGGCATCGAGGTACCCGTAAAGCTCAGGCTAACTAACCCGCAAACCCCTGCACGCAAAAAATACCTACAACCTAAACCGCCGAAATATAATCCTTAAACTGCATCCTCTCTCTCTCGCTCTGTCTCTCCCTCTCTTCTTCATCTTGTGATTCTTGGTCTGCTCACTGGCTGTGAGGACCCCCTGCCCTCTAGCCACGGCAGCTTTGCAGCTTAGGCTCGTCAGTGGAAGCCTCAAGACCGAGATCGCAGCAGCCTTCAGCAACGATCTGGCTATATGCGTAGTTCCCTAAATTAGGGTCCCTTTTGGGGTTCCGTAAAGGGATCTATAAGGGTTTCTATGAGGGTTTGCATAAAGGGACCATAAGGGTTCTGCATGGGTAGTTCCCTAAATTAGGATCCCTTGTAGGGTCCCTTTTTTAAGGATGCCGTACTATAGAGGGGAATCCAAAAAGAGGACCCTAATTTGGAGAACTACCCATATGCGGCTTGATAGACCTTTGAGGTATGTTACATCGGTTGACAAAATGGCTAGACGGCTAGATAGAACGGTAAAAAAATACCGCAGCGCATCTTCAGAAGGCCTTCTACTCCGATAACTACACCTTCGACTGTGGTTCCGATGGTTCCCAAACCATGGGTGTTCAGGGTAAGGGTTGCCCATCGTTGCTTTCCAAGGCGCCCTTGCTGAGAAAGGCCCGAGCAACGATGGTAACCAGCCGAACCTGTGCTTGTCCGCATGGAGAATCTTACGAGATGAGCTGGGAAAAGACTGCTCTCGGTGCCGGCTTTGCGTAGGATGGTCTGGTACCAGATGGGGGTTGCTTTGTCCATCTTGCCGCAAAGTGACATTCAGCATCCGGTTGCCATCCTCTTCAGCGACGGCTGGCACACTGTGACAGACTAAACGGGACCGGTCGGGGCACTCATGTACATTCCCTACTTGCGGAGGTATTGGGCCGCTGGGCGTGCGCGAACTCTCTCGCAACATGGTGGAAGTCTCCGATCTCCGTCCCACAGAGCCCCTCCAAATCGGAGGGCCCAAGCCCATGCACCCGGTCGGAGCCGCTTCGCGGAGGATTTCTTGTTGATTCGTGCCTTTTGTGAGGCCCTGACGGCTGCTGAGGCGGATAAGCATCGCCACAGTTCTCAGTTCCCTAAGAAACACAAACACACACACACACACACATATATATATATATACATATACATATATATATATATATACATACAAAAGCCCAATAGCACAGGGTTCTCATTCAGCGGTCAGTATGGGTGCCAGGGTGTCGATGTGTCAGCTCGGAGTCACCAATCCAAGGTCTGTACTCAGGAGAGAATGTTGGAGGAGCAGGGTTTTCTTTGGCCGATGTGGGCGCTTAGATGGCATAGTCGCTCCTCGAAAAAACAGCAGCCGAAGCCTTTGGGCAGCTTCCGGTGCTCTCCTCGATCTGAAATCATCTCCAGAAGTCCTTGCACAGCCTGCATGGGTCAGGTATCTCACCCCAGGATCTTCGAAGCTGTTTCGCGGTGTGGAGTGTGGGGTTCAGGATGCAACCAAGGAGGAAAGAGTTCCGATGCTCTGACAAGTCTGACAATTTCTCAACCCAGGTGTGGACCTTGGCCAAATGATTTTCACTTCTCCAATCGAGGTCTTTGTAGTAGAAGCTGCCGAGATACCTCCGCAGCACCCAGACAGGACAGAAAGGAAGTGCACAGAAATGCACTCTCATCCCCGGGAGAGGACAGTAACAGTGATCAGGCAAATCCTGCCTGAACTTCGTGCGTATGGCTTCGATCTGCTCGGTGTTGGGATGTAACCATTTGCATTCTTTTCTCTTGCACACCGTCTTGATCTGAGCATAGATCAAGCACGAGTTGGAGCACGGTGCAGGGTGTACTCTTGCAGACAGGCTACACTGGCTGAGCACACATTCACAATATCGAGCCAGCAAGAGACTCCGATGCCCTGGAGGGGGCAAAGCTTGCCTGTGGAAGCAGCAGGGGCGGCAGTGCTGAACAGCTGCTGCGAGCATGCGAGCATCCAAGCGGCGTTTCTCCGAACGGGCCAACAGCATATCTGGGCTCCCTGTCTTCTCGATAACCGGGTGATCCAAATTGCCTTAGCTGCCGCTTGATGACGGTTACTGGGACTTGCATGCAGCACCAGCTTTTGCTTGAATAAGCAAGGTGCATGTCCCAGCGCGTTTGCCTTCACAGCTCCCTGAGAAAACATGATGTGGACAGATTGGCATCAGGTAGTCCAGCCCATCGAGAATCAAGTCTGTCACCTTGTCCGCTGCGATCTTGTCCACTTTCACTTTCGATCGATCTCCCTCTTCCCAGACATAGTGGCGGAAGAGCCACACCTGTGGTCTGTGAGTTAAGAACAACCATACTAGTGATAGTGTATAAGAAAAGCTTGATGGAGCTTACTATCAAACATTAAAAACCATCATATCATGTAACATGCTATATAATCCTATACTGTAAAATTTTATATCATAAAAAGTATGTTATAACACACTATAGTATGATAGATCATACTATGTTATATTATCTTTTCTGTGCTATGTTATATCATATGGCACAATATAATAATAACAGTACTAAGAATAATAATGGTACGTAGTAGTAGTACTAGTAATGGTAATAGTAGTAGTGAGAGCAATAGTAATAGTAATAGTCATAGTAATAAGAATAGTACTAGTCATAGTCATAGTCATACTTAGGAATAGTAGCAGAAATAGTAATACTTATGATAACAGTAATAGCAATAATAGTGATAGTAATTGTGATATTGCTCGGAATAATGATAATAGTAAAAGTAGTCGTCATGGTAATAGTAATATTGACAATAATAATAATAACAACAACAATAATGAGAGCAATAGCAATTGCAACAGTAATGGTAATGGTACTCGTAGCCGTACTAGTACTAGTACTCATAGTAATACTTCGGATAAAAAATAATGGCAGCAATATAGTAACACTAATAATAGAGAGTAATAGTTATAGTAATGGTAATAGCAATAATAATAATAATAGTAGTAGAAAAAAGAAAATCATAGCAATATAGCATTAGTAGTGATAATAATAAGATTGTCAATCGTGATAGCAACATAGTAGTAGTAATAATAACAACAACAATAGTGACAGTAATAGTAAAATTAAAATATATAATAGCAATAGTAGTAGTGATAATAATACTTCTAATGATAGTACGAATGATAGTAATAGCAATGAAAATAGTAATAACAGTAGTCATAGTAACAATACTACTCCTATTAATAATAATAGCAATAGTAATAATAACAATCATAATAAACATATGCAAATAATTAATATTTGTAAATAACACACACACACATATGTGTATATATATATAATTTCTAAGTACCAATAGTCACAATACCAATCATTATAATTATTTATTGTGCTTACCAGTGTTCTTACAAATACTATTGCTATTATTATTATTGTTGTTACTCTTACTGTTTATTGTTATTCCTTCTGTCTTTACTATTACTACTATTGCAATTACTATGGCCATTGCTATTAATTCAATTTTGCTATCATTATTGCTATTATTGAACATATGTATATATATATAC